CAGCATCTAAATAAATAGTCTCAGCTTTTAATACAAAAATAACTAACACACATAATTAATCAATTAATCTATTGCCTATTAAAATGTAATGTCACATTGCTCCTATTATATGCCATTTTTTAATTTAAAATTATATAAATGAAATGAATAATAATTGGTAAATAAGTACGTTTGGCAGAAAGTGTGAAGGAATTAATGAAAGGAAAGAAGTGATATTAATGCCAATAACCATCGGTAGATCCATTTGTACCTAAGCTTTTTCAAAGATCTGTCTTAGAGCATATTTTTGTTTCATTTGCGATGTTGGGGAAATTACTTGATAACCAAAATGTATAACCGATTCATTGACAGAGTATCGATATGTTTTTATTTGCAAAGGCATCCATAAAGGTAAGAACTCACACATTTGTCATATTTTAGTTCACAAAACAGTTGCATAATACTTTATTCATAAGAATTTGTACATACGTGTATGTCTGAAGGTCCATCTCTACCCTAGCAGCTGGGTGTGTGTTTGGATGCGTGTTTGCTGTTTTGTATTTTGCGCTGACACTAAAAGCTATTTGTAAATTTCGTGGTTGCAATTATGTTTGCCATGTTGTTTGCCACGCTTGGTGTCTCTGCTCCCCGCATTAGATACTGCCACTGCCACGCCCACGCACCCATCATGCACTTAACACGTTACCCGCTTTTGGTTTGCCGCCTTTTTTTTTTCTTTTCTAGCTGTGTGGATTTTCTGGTTATTATTAGTTGGCTGTGGTTTTCGGAGCTACGGTTCGTTGCTGTGGCCTCGGCTGCTGACCCCGACTTGTTGTACTGTTTGCTGACCGCACCAAACATACACATAGGCACACACACACACACACACACACACACACACACACACACACACACACACACACACACACACACATAAACACACATGTAAATATTTGCCCTATTGGCCGTGTATGAGGGACCGTTTGTTGGCCCATTAAAGTTTCACATTTTGAAATTTTTGGCACGCTCTTCACTAGCCCAGCTGAAGTTATTATGAATATGTTACCGCCATGGCACACTTTTGTGGCACATTATCGGCACTTTTTCTGTGTCCTCTTTTCTATTTTCAATATATATACCACAATAATTTTTATAATTTAGAAAGCTAGACTGGACAACTTATACTAGCATAACAAAGAAGATTTTGTAGGAGCATAAAAGTTACTTGAATGGCACTGCTTAAAATTCTATTAATTGATTGAAACCTAGATAACTAATATAATTCAGAGAGTAATATTTCAAAAAGAATTTGTTGTTTTCAAAGTTGAAAAAATATGAAAGTTTCATACATTTACTTTCATTTATTCGACAAAAAACCATAATTGTTGATGGTACTTGTAGTTGAAGGCAATATTATAAATGCACACCAAAACAAACCATTTCGTTTAAAAAGTTAGACGAGGTTCAAACGTTAAGTAAGAATGGGGATTGACTTCCATATTTCTAGTGTATTTCAATATTTATACACAACGGCTGTAGAAATGGTAATTGTTTCCCTGAAAAAATTCTTCCCCAACCGAATCACAGAAACTCAATATTTTGTTTCTTGTAGCTAACAATTTTGGAGAACGATATCCAGCAGAATAACATTGACATACAGGTCCTTGAAACTAGCCATTTGATAGCAAACTAATTACTCTTGCTAAAATATTACACTTCATCTTATTTAACAAAGCCTTGAAAAATTAATAGGGAAGGGCTCTTTTTCAATGGCTTTTTCTGGAACCGAAGTAGGCTTACATATGATGTTGCAGTAAGTTAATGCAATAAATGCAATTATGAATAAAAAACAAGTATATGTATTTACAAAATTTGATATAAATACTTGATTTTTGTCATTAATTAGCGCAAACTCTGGGCCTAAGAGTTAGGATAAAATTGTGAGGCAAATAAATGAAGGCACATTATACAGCAGAGGCGAAAAAGCAACATCAACAGCAACAACAACAACAACAACAAACAACAGCTACCAGACAACGCAATACATTTTTGGCCATGGCGAAAACTTTTCTCATTACGAAATTGTTGAAAAACAAGCGGCGAGCAGTTTTCGCCGTCGTGCTAGTATCCTCTCTTCCCTCCGCCAACACTGCAACCCACTCCACTCCACAGCAGCACTCGATATGCAAACAACACAAGGAATGAAAATGCAACAAGCAAACATTTAAACAAAAGTAAAACAATGCCCAATAGTTTTCATTTTTACCCCCATAGCCAATTCATTTGCTTTGCCAACTTTCGCTGTTGGCAACGAAAACAAAAAATAAACTTGAGGCAAAATATTTGCCATATGATAAAAGTTGAATCACATGAACTGAAATGAATGTGCAACTTGAAAATAAAAACGTTCACATACTGGTCCGACTTTCAAGTTTGGTTAATAAAATTAGCCAGCTTGTATAAACTGTGTTTCCGCCCAAGAGACCCAGAAAAACGTCCGATCATTGCGAGGCATTAGGAAACGTGAATGGTGGATAATTCCTGCAGACAACAATTTCCGTTCGAGACTTAAACTGATAGCACTTTTCTTTACCTGCCAAGAATACTGAACTAGGATTAATCTAATCTAGGAAAGAATATAGAATATTATATACAATATAGAATATTAGTTCGCTTTAACCGTATTGAAATGTAACATTAGTTCCGCACGGTAATTTAAAAATAATAAACATGTTGTTTGTTAGTTTATTTCTATTGCCATGAGTTCCACTTCACTTCTGAGTCAAAGCAAAAATACCTCCTGTTACCTCAAGGGGATTGTCTAGCACAAGACGTCCCGGACCAGGTCGTATCCAACTGAATAATAAAGAGCGGGGAGAGTCCATAAATAAAGTGTCACCACACCGAAAACTAGTTATACGTAAATGTAGTTTCTTCTTCGACAAACTTTTTTTGGATCTTATTTGCTTCACTGGTCGTGGAATTAGCTGCATTATTTTCAGCCTATTTTATTCAGGTTGTATTATTAAATATTTATAAAGTTCGCATATTCACAATTACTAGAGAATATGAATTGGCTCTAGGTTGAGCCTTCAGCGAAATATTCCATACTAATCCAATCTCCTGACTCGACCTACAAAGTAAACTCTTTGCTGATCTTTTATTGCGAAAAGGAATGGACGATTCACATTGAACATTGGTGGTCCCGATTTTGTCACACTCGCTAAAATAGAATTAAACATAAATATTTTTCGAAGATATATAATTACAATTCCTACCAGTTACTGCTGCTGCTGTAGATCCTTCTTCATTCACTTCAATTACCGCTTTTTGTAGCACTTCAGATACAAACAAACGTTCTCCAGGACTTGTCAAGTCACTAAAATCGGGATCTCCAAATATTTCTTTGATTCCCATACTTTTTAAAGGTCGATTCAGATATAGCTTAAATTCAATCTTAAATTTGGGCAAACTCAAATAAGTTTTCTTTTTTAAAAATCCAGATGTAAGCGTTAATAAGTTAACTTTATGCAGACTTCTCTCCAATTTTGGTAGACCATTGGGGTTATTGGGTAATATTACCAGCATGGAAATATTGGAGTTCATATAGGGAAGCTCCACAGCATGAGCATCTAAAACATCTGTTCGTCCATAGAGCACATTTATTAGGCCATGCATCATATCGACTTTAACAGGACCTTCTCCCGGTATGAAAAAATCGCTTTTATCTGTATTTTTAGGATGGAACGGTATTTCCCATTTACCATGAAAATAAATGGCGTTAATTACCATTAATCTTAAGTCACCGCCCAAATCGTCAGGTTGAACAATTTCCTCGATAAGGTATTCGGTTCGTGTTGCTACCCATTTATTGATTCGTGATGCGGCCAGTTGGCTGTTCAGAAAATTAATATTTTCGGCATCTGCTCGAAATATTTTCCTCACAAGTTCCTTGTATTTTAGCAACACGGGAAACCTGTGTGCCACAAATATACGATTCGCTATTTTCAAAGTGGCTCCACCACCAGGTGACAATATTTGGCGAAATCTGCGAAATTCTTCGACTGATTCGCGCTTTGAATGTCCAGTCAAGTGTAGCTCACTATGAAGTTCATCAGCGGCGCTGCCTTTCACTCCCACATAGACCTGAGCTAAGGCTTCTCGAACAGAAAATGGAGATACAATGACGTTATCTTTCCTAGAGAACTCCAAAGCTTTCTGCAGAAATCTACTGGCGAACCGGTCGGCGTGAAATCCTGCCAAGAAACTTAGTAGAATTATTAAGCGGACGTGAAGAAAAGAACGATGGCTTGCCATTTTAAACCGACTGAACGTTTTTCCACGTACTCCGGCTTTTATAGGCAACGACAGCATACATAATAGGATTATAACTGTATTTAGATACACCTTGGGGATATTCTTCGACGTTGTATTAAAAAATAAATTTGTTCCAAAGAAACAATTTCACGTTAAACTGTATTGCCCATTAAGAATGTTGTTGAAATTTCCGACAATATTGCATCATTGTTTATGATATAATAAGAAGTAGGTGCCATCTTCTTATACCCTCCAACTAATAGGTAAGAAATACTTTCATTTGGAATAAAATTAAATGGAAAAGAATAAAAGATAATATAGTGATACAATAGAATAGAAAAGAAAATAATATGATATAATATAGTATACTCGTATGTTTATTAGTTATGAAATATTAGCTTCGCTTTAACCGTATTAAAATGCAAAATAAGTTCTCCATGGCGATCTAAAAATAATAAAAAAAAATACTTTGCAGAACACTTTGCTAATTTAATTATGTTGCTTTTAGTTCCACTTCCCCCCTTTCAGCCAAAACCTTAAGTACATCTGGTTACCTTAAGGATATTGTCTAGGACAATAGACCTAGTTATATCGAACTGGCTAATAAAGAGTGCGAAGAATGCATAAAAAAATTGTCACTACAACTAAAATACTTTATAATTCTAAACGTAAATGTGTTTTCTTCTTCAAGAAACTTATTTGGATCTTATTTGCTTCACTTGCTCCATTATTTTCAGCCTATTTTATTAAGGTTGTATTATTAAATTTTTATAAAGTTCGCATATTCACAATTACTAGAGAATATGAATTGGCTCTAGGTTGAGCCTTCAGCGAAATATTCCATACTAATCCAATCTCCTGACTCGACCTACAAAGTAAACTCTTTGCTGATCTTTTATTGCGAAAAGGAATGGATGGTCCACCTTAAATGTGGGCTTTCGCTTTTTCGTAGAGATTCCGGCCACTGCAATAGATTTAATTTTAGATATTTTTCAAAGACAAATATATGTTATTCCTACTAGTTGCTGCTGCTGCTGTAGATCCCTCTTCATTCACTTCAATTACCGCTTTTTGTAGCACTTCAGATACAAAAAAACATTCTCCAGGACTTGTCAAGTCACTAAAATCAGGATCTCTAAATATTTCTTGGATTCCCATACCTTTTAAAGGTTGATTCAGATTTAGCTTAAATTCAATCTTAAATTTGGGCAAATCCAAAAGTATTTTCTCCTTTTCAAACTCAGATGTAAGCGTTAATAAGTTAACTTTATACAGATTTCTCTCCAATTTTGGTAGACCATTGGGGTTATTGGGTAATATTACCAGCATGGAAATATTGGAGTTCATATAGGGAAGCTCCACAGCATGAGCATCTAAAACATCTGTTCGTCCATAGAGCACATTTATTAGGCCATGCATCATATCGACTTTAACAGGACCTTCACCCGGTATGAAGAAATCGCTTTTGTCTGTATTTTTAGGATGGAACGGTATTTCCCATTTTCCATGAAAATAAATGGCGTTAATTACCAATAATCTTAAGTCACCGTCCAAACTGTCAGGTTGAACAATTTCCTCGATAAGGTATTCGGTTCGTGTTGCTACCCATTTATTGATTCGTGATGCGGCCAGTTGGCTGTTCAAAAAATTAATATTTTCGGCATCTGTTCGAAATATTTTCCTCACAAGTTCGTTGTATTTTAGCAACACGGGAAACCTGTGTGCCACAAATATACGATTCGCTATTTTCAAAGTGGCTCCACCACCTGGTGACAATATTTGGTGAAATCTGCGAAATTCTTCGACTGATTCGCGCTTTGAATGTCCAGTCAAGTGTAGCTCACTATGAAGTTCATCAGCGGCGCTGCCCTTCACTCCCACATAGACCTGAGCTAAGGCTTCTCGAACAGAAAATGGAGATACAATGACGTTATCTTTCCTAGAGAACTGCACAGCTCTCCGCAATAAGTCACTGGTGAACCGGTCGGCGTGAGAACCTGCCAGGAAACTCAATAGAATTATTAAGCGGACGTGAAGAAAAGAAAGGTGGTTTGCCATTTTAGACCGACTGACGGTTGTTCCACGTTCTCCGGCTTTTGTAGGCAACGAGAGCATACATAATAGGATTATAACCGTAGATATACCTTGGAAATATACGTTTAAATTAATGCGTTTAACGACATTAGTAATCATCATAATTTACTGTGCTTTGTATTTTAAATTCCCTTTCTTTAAGAGATTTTCATACAAAAGTTTGATGTACAAATGATCAACGTATGTATTGTAATTGCTTAAATAATTTCACCCATGTGGTTTTTTAAAGGGTTCGGACTTAAGCAGATATTTCAGTTTGATATTTTTCTTAATATTTTTTTTATTTATTTTAATGTGCTTGACAGTCGCTTTGTACTCTGTTTGAGAGTGTTTCATTCGTAAATTGTAAAATCGAATTAAAAAAATTCAGCTGAAATTAAAATAACGTTTGCAAGATCTTTGCGAAAGGGTGTCTACGTCTAGAGCCTCAGAAACGGGGAATGGGAGTTGCGGCTGATCCAAGAAACACCAACAGCGATGGACATCCTTTCTACAGACGACGAAAAGTGGACGACAGTGGGTACTCAATCAAGGACCTAATCGACGCCATAAAAAGTGGGGTAGCAACGCAAGCCGGAGACGCTAGTGTTATATATATTGTATATATGTACAAACATAATATATTTATCCAACATAGATGTTCTTTGATGTTGTATAGAAAAAAAAAATGTTTCTGCTGAAACATTTTAATACATAGCGTCGATTTAGAAAGTGTATGTACCCGTGAAAATCTTTTATCTATAAAATAGTACAGGACCATTAACAATGTTGTTGCAATTTCCGGCGAATTTGCACCATTAATAGGATGAATTATGAAATATGCTCCATATTCTTATACGCTCTTACTGAAGAGTACAAATTAAAAATGAAATAAAATAGAGATGAAAAGACCCAGAAATTTTTTCGCCATTGCGGAATTCAAGGCCTATATAAAATAAAAATGGAAACAAGTAAAAAAGCTAAAGTCGGGTGTCCCGACTTTGAAATACTCTGTACATATGTTTACAATAATTATAGAAAATAAAAAAATTAAGAAAATAAAAAAAAAAATTTGATCGATTTTACCTCTCTCGGTATTCGAACTCACGTAAAGGGTGTATAATTGCACATTTACATAGCAATTGCGTCTGTGTGAGTGTATGTATGCCTATGCGCATCTATTCGTGTCTGTGTAAGCATTTTCGCAGTCCACCAAACAGCAACAACAGCCGCGGGCAGCGCTTGAGCAGCGCTGCAGCAGCGCTGCATCAGCAAATATATTTATGGCTATAACTTCTTGTTAAATCGGTCTATCATAATGAAATTTAGCATACGGACACATAATAACCAACTGGAGGTATTTCCAAAATTTTAGTTCGAAATTCCAAGAATTACGGGAGTTACGATTTGTGGGGTAGAGGGGGGAGGGAGGGGAATTCCAAAATATACATTTTCTGCGTATTCACATAAGGCATCTGGGACTAAAATTTGGTGTTCCTAGGTCTTATAGTCTCCGAGATATAGGCGATTATACGAATGGAAAATCGGGAAAACCCCCATAGGGGGGAAGTGGGGGGAAAATCAAAAAAATAAAACAAACTCGTATAGAATACACACATAAGGCATCTTCGTGCAAAATTTGGTGTCTCTATCTCTTATAGTCTCTGAGATCTAGGTGTTCATACGGACGGACAGACGGACAGACAGACAGACAGACAGACAGACAGACAGACAGACAGACAGACAGACAGACAGGGCTAGATCGACTCGTCTCGTCATGCTGATCAAGAATATATATACTTTGTGGGGTCTGCCACGCCTCCTTCTGCCTGTTACATTTTTCAGCTCCCGCAAACCTAATATACTCTTGTACATTTCATGTACAGAGTATAAAAATGGAAATAAGAAATATAATATCAAATTGTAAAGTAAAGCTTTATTTATAAGCGTTGAAATTTTCAATGGTTAAATCTGTTGGAAATAATAGTCCTGTTGGATTACGATAGCTACATACATATATATTGTCCTTATCATTTTATGAGAGAAACGAATAATCAGATAATGTATAACAAATTCTTCTTCTAGCAAAACATGTGCCTGTGAGTGCAATGTTTTAATGCCCAGAACAGATGTGCAACAAATACTTGTACATACAAAATAAAACCAACAACAGTTAAAAGAACAAGAAAATGCAATGATTTCGATTATCTGGTAAACACATTAAATGGTGTGGCAGACAATGGCGAAACATGACACACATAAACACACACACACACACATAACCAGAAGCAGAACCAAAACCGCCTTGAAGCATGCAACGAATTTCGCGTGAGCCAGAGAAATATTTATTGGCTGGCAGCGGCGCCTTGGCAGCTCCAAAATAGAAATCACAATGCCAGGCAACCAGTCAGCCAGTCAGCCAGCCAGCCAGCGAGAAAATGCTTAAGAAATGCTAAGGAAAGCTGGCGGAAATACAAAAGTTGAGGTATCAGAGCCGGCAGACGGGAAGTGCATATCGCGTAAGGGAAATGCAACCACAACGAGCAACGGCCAAATAAATAAAATACAATGGAAGTAAAAAGCACATATAAATAAAAACTCTAGCAAACACATCGAAAGCCACGAACGTGAAATCAGCGACACTCACACACGCCCAGACACATATACGGACGTTGAGGCACTGACAATATTTTGGTCAGCTTTCCAAATCTAACAGATATTGTCTTTCAAATTCAACGAATTTAGTCTCGATATTCCCATTTCCAACGTGGCGTTTGCGGCAACACCTTGCAGAATCAATAAATAGCGCTTAAACCTTAGTGGTAAGATTTTTCAGGCAGTCCACTTCTTGGTAGAATGATCTGCCAAAAGTTTTACATTCTAAAAAGTATAGGATATAATTAATATAATAATTAATAGAATTAATTAATATAATATAATTACGCCAGAAGTAATTATGGAGGACATGCATTCTGTTATTTATTCTAAATTTGAAACTCCTTTTACTAACCGCATTCTGTTCAAACAATATTTTAAATACAAGTAGTGGGTGACGATTTGATATAAAAGTTAATTTACCGTAGAAAATTCACTCGGAATTTTTTTTTTTTATTTGAAAGGAATGTTGACATTTTTTCTGAGTGTATGCGGAAACTGACTTGCACGGGCAAATAAAATAGCGGCGAAATCGAAATGACAGTCAGCGTGGCTAGCGAACTTTGTAGTTTTGAAGTTGCGCTTGGGAAATTGGAAAATTGTGCAAATCACGTAGCGCAAAGAAATAGAAATGTGCGGTTTGCGTTTTTGATAAGCAGTCACAATTCATGGGAAAATTTGCGTCTGGCCCACGACAAAGCTGCAAAAAAGTGAATTTTTATTGCTTAACATTCCACAATAGCACAGTGTGATATTTTTGGCAAACTTTTGAAGAAAAAGTGTTAAATGCATTAGAAAAAGTATACACAGAATTTGCATTTGAAACCCAATCAATAGCAGATTGGAGTAGCTTTCGAAGTGACCGAAACTTCACCAAATTAATGTGCAACTTTTCAACTTTAGGAAGCTGGGCATGATTTTTTCTATTCTTATGCCTGATAAGGTTTTTAAACCAAACGATTTTGGATTCTTTTGAATCTGCAAAAACGCCCCATGCTCCTGTCACGCAGGTGTTAAAATAGCAAAGCGAAATCAAAGCTTGTTTAGTTTGTGGCAAGTTTGGGGGAAGCACGCTCTCATTTGGTAAGCAATAAAAAACTTGTTGCCAGCCCCCTTGTTACAATGTTATACAATGTTTACAAAGACTGTTTGTTATTTTTACCTGGGCATCCCTTTCAAAGCTCCCGTACGAGTGGATTGTTTAGCAATCCTCCCTTTTCTGCTTAAGTCAGTGGAAAATTTAAATTCAGTAAATGAAAATACTTTTGCATGTTCACCTCTAGTTTGTGGCTTGTGCCAGCTTCGCATTATTGCACGCTTTGCATGTGTCAACAGACAAGAATAAACATGCACACCTACTTGTACGCATACACTCGAAAAAGCGCATGCCTAAAAGTGTTCAATGTTTGTTTAGGTGCCTCAGCAAACACACGTTGCATGTTTGTGTTTAGTTGAGCCTTTCTTTTTCCTCTCATTCTCCCACTACTACTCTATAGTTTATTGCAAGCTGTTTTGGGGTTTTCTTTGTGTTGGTGGAGGCGCAACAAAGTTGCAAAGGGCACGACTGTAGTGAATGTTTTCACATTTTGGTCTGGCAATAATATTAGAAGTGCGGTAGCCAGCGAGCTTGGCTTGTGCCAAAACAATTCAAGATCTACCCAAAACTTGAACCTTTTAGGCTAGAAGCGCTAAACGCCAAATGTATACAATGGTATAAAATAGCCTTATTTTGTAGACATGGATGTGATCATGAAGACGAATCAGTATTTGGACTTGTCCTATCCGCACGCAGAGAAAGCTAATTAAAAACTACATATAGCTTTTTTATATTTCCAATCACTCTTAGTATGATAGCTTTTTGTTTATAAATGAATCTCTGATATGAACTATCCATAATCATGTTTCAATAAAAATTGGCACAGCTCTTTCGATCTAATCGTTTTATAATATTTTCATAAATCAATTGCTTCTAATCAAACTAAAAAAGTTTAACGAAAAAATATGCAAAATAAAGATTATAGTATAAAACTAGTAAGAAATATTAAATAAACAAAGAGACAAATACTGGAAAAAATGATTTACAAACGATTACTCAAAGGTTCGAAATCGCTTCTCAATGCTCACCCAAACTGGGAAATAAACTGGTGTCGAATTTAGTTTTCTACTTAGCTCTTATCGTGCTACAGAGGACCACTTAAATACAAATAACCTACATATCTGTTCCAGCTAGGGTAAGGTTTTATCAGCTTATATATTTATATTTTGCTTTACTAGGGTGTTCTCTTATACTTCGAATTGGCACCACAAGTGCCGGCTAAGCGAAGTCCCCCGAAAAGCTCCACACTGGCGAAATCCTATTGCTGCC